CTCAAACATATTTTACCCTCCTTATCGGTGACTATAATGCTAAGATAGGCAAATGGGAGAAAGACGATGGCCCATATATAGGGAAATATGGCCTAGGACAAAGAAACGAAAGGGGCAAAAAACTTCTTAACAACACAACATCTATGCAATGAACACCTTTTTAAAAAAAACCCGAACAGAAAATGGACCTGGGCTAGTCCCGATGGATCAACAAGAAATGAGATTGATTATGTCCTATGTAATAAAAAACACATTGTTGAAGATGTATCGGTAATCAACCAATTCTCTAGTGGCAGTGATCATAGATTAGTTAGAACTAGAATTAAAATCAACACATCACTAGAAAGAACAAAACTCATCAATACTAAAAGGCAACACCTAAATCTGACCAACTACCAAATCGACCTAAATAGAAGACTATCCAATATGCGAAACGCGGAAGACCTGTAATTGGATGATCTGGTACAACAAACAACCTCCCAGATTATAAATAGTACCAGGAAGACCGCATCAAGATTAAAAGTTGCCAGAAATCCAAAAATATCCCCAGGAACACAACAACTAATGATGGAGAGACGGAAGCTGGATAAGAGCACATCACAATACAGAGAAATGAACAGGGTAATTAATAAGGCTATACGTAAAGACACTAGAACTTACAACACGTATATGATAAAGAAATGCATAGAACAGAATTCCAATATGAAAGTACTTAGAAGGAACAGACTCGAAAGCAAGTGACATATAAAGTTAAACATCGTATAGGAACGTACAAGTAAGTAAAGTAATGCTCCCTCTCATTATATTATATTTTCACTAATCCTTTTCACGTAACGTAATAATCATTTTAACACAATTTCTCTGACATATATTACCCACTATAATTATTAAAATTTTACAATGTTATTTACTATCATTACAGTTCATCGTGAACAAATATAGTAATTAATTTTAAGCAACTACAACTGTGTTTTCTTTCTCTGTGCATGCCTGGCGCCCATTATCAAAATTTATTTGGTTTATTATTATTAATTAGTCTCTCTAGTGAAATATAACTGAACCCATGACAAAAAGCTGCCGTACGCAGGGTAGTGGTTTCGCTATAATATGCTGTAACAATATAATATGCTGCAATAAACGCTATTATATGCTGAACAGTCTGGTAATTTTCTTCATTTTCTACAGCGTAGTTTGTTTCTACTGCGATTTTGCAATGTCCGGTTAGAATTTCAGTTAGAGTTCAAATACTGCTTCTTCACATCGCCAAAAATACAGTTGGAGTTGGAATATTTTGTTTTCCAAAAGCAAAATAAAGCAATAGTTCACCACAATACACCAACACCTTTTAATTTTAGTGTAATACACAGATGGTTAAAACTGACAGTTTTAATTATCTGCTGATGATACTAATATAGTTAGCGAAACGCGCGTCCCACGCTAAAAGTAAAGAATTTTAGTTTATATAGATTTAGATGTAGATTATGTAAGAGGGGGGAAGTTAATCACCGCGAAATTATAGATCTATTGTGCCCCCCTTCCTTGAGTTAACTCATCATACAGACTAAGGGCTTTTCCAAAAGCCAGTATCTTTAGACGGTTTTACAGAGGTTAGTTTTCTCAGTAATGAGGTGTTCCCCATTTTCCCCATAGAATCTGTATTCGTCTTTGTTTCTTAGTTTCAATCTATTGAGGTGTTCACTGAGGAGACAATGTCCTGTTAAAAACCCCGTGACAATCCCAAGATTGCTCTTAATTAAATCTAGGAAAATCTTTGATTTTTCTCGGTCAAAGGTTTGAGAAATTTCTTCGAGACTGTTGGAGGATTCCCATTTCAGATTACGGATGGAGTCTTCCAGGTTCTTGCGTTCCCTTTTAAGTTGGTCTCCACTTGGGAAGCAAAACGATTCTGGTCCAGTTAGTGGAGTGTTTGTTCCTTTTCTAGTTAGATCGTTTGCTTTTTCCCTTTTATGCTCTCTATTACCTTCTATTCCCTGGTGGGCTGGCACCCAGAGTAGGAGAACTTTATTTCCTTTGCCTAAATGGTTCACCTTCTCTAGGCATTCGTTGACCAACTTCAAATTGATTGAAATGAATTGATCGCTATTAAAGCCGCTTGACTATCAGATAAGATGACTATTTCTTGTTTCCAATAATTTATATCTAAGATAAGTTGTATGCATCTTTCGATAGCGTAGATTTCTGCCTGAAGGATGTAGGTAGGTGCCCATTTGTTCCGAGTATTTAGTTTTTGGCCCAAATAGACGGTCCTGCTTTGGTATTGGAAGTATCAGTAAACCACGTTATGATATGTCTTTTACCTGCTACGCAAACGTTTCTCTTTTCCAATACATTTTATTGCTCAATATTAAAGTGAGGTGTTTCTCAAAGTTGTCAATTTAATCAAGTTGTCAAGTTGTCAATTTAGTCAATTTAGTTGTCCTTACTGGGATACTACAAACTCGCAACCAATTTTTTCATTAAGTATTTTTTGAAGTTTTGTAATAAGCTCTGGACAAATAGTTTTTAAACTCCTTTTGAACTTACTTGTACTAAACTTGTGTTTTAGTAAATTTGTTGGCTTTTCACTTGTGATTGATTTGCTGTTATATTCTGGTAGGGTTTCTTTTTATCGTTTTTTAAAATCATGTATTATTTCGTTTGTAAGGCATATAAATTATCATAGTTAGCAAAACTGAATCGAAAGAGCATTTTAATGTTTTTTTTATTAGCATTTCATTAACATCTGCCCAGTTGTGTACTTGTGAAACACTGATGACACACATCACAAGTACATGCGAGAAGTAGAGTATCTCATACTCACCCGCTCTATATAGAGTTTGGCACTGTAAGAAGAAGTTGTTATGTATTATAAAGCTAAGTGATAATAACAAGTAATTCTTAATATATCTTTTTAATACAATTAATTCTATATTGACAATGCTCAAAACGTATTATCGTTTCTTGAGGCTACAATTCCGGATTAGTTAACGTTAGTGCACAGTTATCATTCACCAGTATTTTTTCTTTTTTTCTTTCATGTTTATAGCCCATTTATAGGTATATATACAGGTTGAGTCTTAAATAAGCGCAAATTTTTTCAGAGGTGGTATATTTCGACCCCAGGAACACGTCTATGAGTTTTTTCGCAAAAAAAGATGTTGAAAACTGTGCATTTTCTTTTAAATTTCCCTGTATATTTTTCGAAAACTTTTTAGAACTAATTTCTTAATCTCTGATATTACCATAGTTACGGCTTTACTCTATGGTTACGGCACTAAAAGGGATGCAAATACAGAAAAAAAAACGGTGGCTCTCAAATTTAAAAAAAATCATTTTTTTTTTAAATTTTCAAACTTAAATAACTCGGTTATTTTGGACTTATCTGAAAAATGGTAAAGAGAAAATATATTTCTTTTTATCGAGATCTACCAGCCCTAACAATATCTGCACTTATTTAAGACTCACCGTGTATAAGATAAGATTAAAAACAGAGAAAAATTATAATTTACTACTAGTGTAGCCCGTGGTTATATTGGATGCGTGTCTGTGCGTTTTCGTTCGTGCACGAATGTGCACGAACGTGCACGCAGCAAAAAACAAGCAAATGACATCTAGGCAGGCGGTTACATTGCATCGGAGTTTGCACGTCCGTGCACGTACGTCAATTTCCGTTGGTCTGATGAAAACAAATTGGTTTGTTTTTTTAATGACGCCCAAGTATTTAAATGTACAGACATTTTTAATTGTGCCGATTCCTACATCCAAATCCTCACATTTGTCATCACCCACTACCATGTACTCCGTCTTCTTTGTGTTTATTGTTAGGCCCCATTTCGAATATTCCTTATGAAGTTTTCTAAACATATAACTGGAGTCGTCTCTGTCTCCCGCTATTAAGACCTGGTCGTCGGCAAAGAGTAAGGTATATAAAGTGTCTTTTCCTACTGGGATTCCCATTCCACGGCATTTCATCTTCCAACACTTTAGTACTTCCTCCAAATATACTTTAAATAAAGTTGGTGCTAATGAACACCCTTGTCTTAAGCCCTTATTCACAAGAAATTCTTGGGAAATATTGTTTCCAAGTTTAACTGTGCTACTGCAACCCTCGTATAATTTTCTTGTTGCTTGGACATACCAACTACTGATACCAAAATTTTGCATTGACACCCACAACTTACTTAGTGGGACTGTATTGTATGCCTTCTGTATATCAATAAATGTCAAGTGGACCGTCCTTCCCCTTTCAACCCTTTTTTCGATTAGATGCTTCAGAGTGAAAATGGCATCAGTACATGAGCGTCCCGGTCTAAAATCATTTTGCTCTTCCGATTCCGTTATTTGTGCTTCTATCTTATGTTTTAGTACTTTGCCATAGAGTCGAGCAACCGTACAAATGACACTAATTCCTCTATAATTTTCACAGTCGCGTCGGCTCCCTTTCTTAAATATGGACGTAATAATCGCTTTTTTCCATTCCTTGGGCGGGTCTTCTCCATTTAAACATCTACTAAAAATATCTGCCAGAATTTCCAAAACTGCTGAGGGGGCAGCCTTTAAAATTTCTACTAAAACATTTCCCAAACCTGGGGCTTTGCCATTTTTCATTTGTCGGAGGGCTTTATCTACATCTGCAGAGCTTATTAGTGTTGGATGCTCAGGTTCGGTTGGATTAACAGGATGACTTTCATGATCTTGTATGAATTCGGTTCTATTTTTCGTCAAAAGATTTTGATAATAAGTCTTCCAATCCTCGATCGGAATAATATTCATCCCAGCAGTATCTTTATGTTGCCTTCGCATTCTGTTGATAATTTTCCATGCTTTATTTGCTTTTGTGTTTCCAGCTTCTAGGTTGACTTCTTGGCATCTTTCTTCCCAGTACTCATTCTTTGCTTTTATTATTTCCTTCTGTACACTTCTCTCCTTGTCATTATAAATTAGTCTGTCTTGAGTGCTCTGTGTACTCAACCATTTCCCATAAGCAGCCTTCTTTTCATCTACAATCTCTTTCCTAGTTCTTCACTCCACCAAGGTGTATCTTTTCTGTATCTCGTGGAGACTATTTTCTCTCCAAGAGCCTCATTTGTGGCTTCATGTATGCACGTTTTCAGACTTTCGTACATATCATTTGGAGATCCTTGTCCTATTCTGTTTAATTTCGTGGCTAGTCTCATCTGGTACAAGAATTTAGTTGAGTCATTCCTCAAACTTTCGATATTATACTTGACATTACTTAATGGAGTTCCATTTTTCTCAGGCAATCCATTTGATTGCATTTTTTGTTTGTAGGGAAAATAAGATTTTGCTACTACCAAGAAATGATCAGTACCACATTCTGGGCCACGCATGACTCTGACATCCGAAATTTTCAGTTGAGTTTTCTGCCTAACAATTATATAATCAATTAACGATTTTAGATTTTGTGTGGGTTGCGTCCATGTATATTTGTGGATATCTTTGTGTGGAAACCATCCATTAGCAATCCTGAGTGCCTGTTCGCATAAGTGAATAAGTCTTTCACCATTATTATTTACAATGTGTTCTCCGTAACGTCCTACTACTGGGTCATTTAATTTAAAACCTGTTCTGCCATTTAAGTCACCAATTAGAATCACCTCCTTTCGACTTCCAATCTTTTCCAAGGCTGTCGTCAAATCAAAAAAGAACGTGTCCTTCTCGGCGGCTGGGGCTTCGTCAGTTGGGGCATAGGCTGCTATAACTACCAAAGAATGATTTCTCACATCAACATCCACCTGCAAAAGTCTGTGGTTGATTTGGTCCCAAGATTTTATAAATTTCTTATATTTCTTCCTAATTGCTAGTGATACTCCACCGCGGGCTCGCTCCTCTTTTGGTACTGCTGTATATATGGTACTTCGGTACCTTATGGTATACTTCGGTACCTTATGGTATACTTCGGTACCACTGTATATATGCACATATCCATCCTTCTCTTCTGTACCTTTCCCTTTTTTCTTAGTCTCTGTTAGAGCTATTATGTCCATATCGTACCGTTCCATTTCTTTAAATACTTCTCTCTTTGTTGCTATCCCTTGAATATTCCATGTTCCTATTCGTAAAGTCCGTTTCATTGCCAATTTTCGTCTACTTATCTGACAGTCCGGGTCCGAGGCTTTGTTGAGAAATTTTGCGTTTTTTAGTTTTAAGTACCGTAAAACGGGGTAACTTCGACAGATTTTTGTGCTTCAACAGTATTTCGTGCTCTGTGAAGAAAACTATTGTCTTGAGAACCGTGACTTATGTGTCGTCGTAACAATTGAAGCCTTAGTTTTTCATACCCGAACAAACAACTCCCCCCACCCCTCCTTCTACTTTTTCTTTATTTTTTTGGTGTCGAAGTTACCCCGCATCTGGGGTAACTTCGACACCATGCTTAATTCTACATGAAGTCGAAGTTGGACGTCTCCAGTGTAACTTCGACACGAAAAAAAAGAAAATTCATTATGAATTATTAACTAGAAACATTAGGGAATAGTTTATAGACCTAAATTAGACAAACGAAACAAAAAAATTCAGTCATCTATTTTCAGAAACTTTGGTACCTAGCACATTTTGCATCTGAACTAATAGAACTTAAAATACTTTATTTTAACTTAACTAAAACTCATTGAATAAAGTAAAAAACATAAATACACAACATTTAAAACAAGTTTAAAACATAAAAAAAAGCAAACACTAGAAACGAAATTCTAATCATCGTCGAAAAAGAGGATATTCGTACCTCACATGTTTGGAACCACCGTTGCAATATTTGCAAACCACCGTTGGAACCACCGTTGGAACCACTGTTGCAAACCCACTTTCCACAGGTGACACACTTGATCCACGCCTTTCTATTTGTGTACTCGGAGTACCGCATTAAACAAATGGAACATAAATTGCACGAAGGGCATTCATATTGAGGGTTCTTGGAGCCACAGTTGCAAATACCGCACACCCACTTTAAACAAGAGATGATAATCCAGTCATTGTTGTCAGTGTAATCTGCATAAGAACATTTGTATACAGAGCACAAAAACCTGAAAAAAAGCATTATAATATACATGTCGAAGTTACCCCCGCTGTCGAAGTTAACCCCGTTTTACGGTACACGTCCGAGCGTTTGCATTTTTTTCTCTGATCCCAATACATTCCCGAAAAAATTGAATATATTTGAATACCAGGTTTAATTTTATTTAGGATATATTAATATTGATGGAGACATTCTGAAATATTCAAAAAATTTGACCTGTTGCTGTCTTAATTCACGAAATGTTTTACATATTCATTTTCTTCTCCTCTTCTTGCATATAAATCATTTACCCAACATTTTCTTCTTTTCATGAGTATTTATTTTAACATTATATCCTCACACAGCATCAAAGTAGTGGCCCTTGTTTTGACAAACTCGACACACAGAACACCATGAACGCGCATCTAATGTAACCACTATTATAAAATAGTCGTGCGAGTAAATTCCGTCAGAGCTCGCAGGTATAAAAAAACGCACAGAGCTGTGTCCAATGTAACCGCGGGCTTTACTAAAAATAAATTGTAATTTGTAAACTTTAGCTGTATAATACACTCACCGGCAAAAAAAACCGGCCACTAAAAACTAGTCCCAATTTCAAAGTTGGATTTCTCGCGAACCACTCATTAGATTTTGATGATTTTTTTTTAAATTGTAAACTAATTCCTTCTTAACGGATGCTACGTCAGCAATTTTTATTACAAGTTTATTTTGAGCATATACAGGGCACAACAATAAGACGAAGTTTTTGCCCAAACTTTGTAACACCCTGTAGGGTGCAGCAGCTGTAATAGCTCTTGCTAAATCTAATCACATTGTAGCCTCATCTTTTGTGAGCATTTTGTTTTTTTAATCACGACATTATCTCTGTTTGTATTGGAGATACGCTGCTTTAAAACAAACGCCTCGAAAAAAGCTTTAAAATAAAATCAAACATCAGAACGTAGACGTAAACTAACTAAAACATGAAAATTAAAAAAAAAGGTAAAGAAATTTTAAGGGATTAATATCTAGTATCCACTCGCCTGGTGAAATTTCCCGTTTCCATATACTGATTCCAGGCATCCTGGACTGTTGTTCGAAATATACCCAAGGCATCGGAGACATAACGTTGATATCGGCCATCGGCCATCCTCAACTAAAGCCACAATACGAGCAACAGTTGTTACAGATAATGGCATTTTATAATTTGACAGCCGTTTTTCTCATATTGCAAATACTCATAAATCCGTTTTCGCATATGTCGCCTAGATTATTTACACATAAAACTTTCTGCCTTTTCCGAGATGAATTCTGAATTTTTCCGAGACGTTCGTTTTAAAACAGCATATCTCCAATACAAAAAGAGATAATGTGGTGATTAAAAGAACAAAATGCTCACAAAAGATGAGGCTACAACGTGATTTAATTTATCAATAGCTACTACCGCTGCTGCACCCTACAGGGTGTTACAAAGCTCGGGCAAAAAACTTCGTCCTATTGTTGTGCCCTGTATACGCTCAAAATGAATTCGGAACAAAAATTTCTGACGTAGCATCCGCTAAGAAGGAATTAATTTACAGTTTAAAAGAAAAATCGTCAAAATCTAATGAGTGGTTCGCGAGAAATCCAACTTTAAAATTTGGTCTAGTTTTTAGTGGCCGGTTTTTTTTTGCCGGTGAGATAATTTATAGGCGTTACTCTTAATTTTAGTTTAAACCATTTTATTGATAACAACAGTCTTTAAACATGACACTATTTTTGTACTTTATATGCAATATATTAAAAATAATAATAGTAATAATAATCTTTCTTCCATAATACATTAAAAATAATGGTCAATGGCGTGAAATGAAAATTCCACTCCAATTAGTCTACACGACTCAAAACTTGAGTCTACCTAAAACAAAAGGTTTTCACACCGAAACCTCTCGTGTTTATTTAAAGAAACCGCTTACAGCTTCTCTAAATTAGCTCGTAAAAAGAAAGGCTTTCGAGCGTTCTTAAGTAGCTCCATAAAGCAAACAGGAACGAGCACCTTGGTTATTCCAGCGTTGTTTGTTGGATCTATATTTAGACATTTTCTGGTAATAAGAATGAATTGAAATTAGGTTACTTTTCATGTTTGCGTTATTCTATTAATATACCGTTGTAGCATTTTCATTTTCCAAATGCTACTTTGTTTTATTATAGACGGTATTTTATTATTGTATCGATATTCTTTTTACATTCCTACAACACTTAAATTTCGGAACGCTCTCTATCGAAAATATTGGATCCAGAGATATGGAAGTGGGAGAATGAGCTTCGACGAGTGCGCATCCAAATTTTTGTCGACGGCAAGATGGCAGACATCTTCCAGGTCTCGCTGTCACTTCCCCTCTTTAATTGACATCTGTTTGTTTTGTTTTTTTTTCGTTTGTGTTGTTATCTAGTTAAAATTTATTATTATCTGAATTATTCTAAACACTAATTCAAAAAGGCTTGTTGTATATTGTTATAGTCATTCTAAGAAAGCTAATACGCCGGGAAAAATGATTAGTTTTCATGTGTAAGTTTATACAACATAATCGTGTTTACAGATGATCCAAAACTGTTTATTTTTAGTTTTCCTAAAGGCGATTTGCAAAAATCGTGATTGTAATTGGGAATGGTCAAAAATAAGTATATGATGTGGCCATTTAAAGAGGATGTTTTTATTACGTGTGGAGGAAGAAGATACTTGGAATCAGTGTTCGTGCTTCTGTAAAACAGTGCACTCTTATAGTGTCCATGAAAGCACAAGTTCAAGTGTACCAGAAATATGTCAAATAAGATTGGTCCTTACTTGAAAAGAAGATTATTTGGAGGAAAACAAAACATAAGATAGGGTATTTTAATCGAACAGCGAAAATTTAACATTTTTATTGTAAAGTTTGTTGTAGGTAGTTGTAGTTTTATGCTAAATATTTCTAACATTAGCAGCAGCAGTGTTCAGAGTGTCAAGAGGAGGAGAATTCAGTTAATTAGATTTATGCACAGTTACAGGTATGAAGGCTTTTTCAAACATAGTATCAAGTTCTATAGTCAACAGTATTCCTACAACTGTAAAAACAAGGAACATTGGACTGAAAAAATGGCAAGATTTATATAGGAAGAAAGGGTATTATGCCAATAAGAAAATTAAATCTGTAGGCAGAAGTTTCTTATTTAAAAACTGTTATGGGGCATATATTAATTTGTATCTGTGCCACAAATCACTGAGAAAAATCATATAATATTCATAATTGTTAACGAGATGATATTTAAAGAGTGTTAAAAATGAGACTATTAGTCATGAAGCTTACAGTGTTACTTTGTTTCAATATTACACTTTTATTCTTGTAAAATCTATGATGAAGTTCAAAAGCATTTTGCAATGGCCTTAAATTGTGAGTTGTGAGCCAGGATTTATAGTAAAGGTATTTGATGCAATGAAACTTAATCGGTACCTTCCAGTATGTATTTTAGTAAGGGGATTGTCAATCCCATGTTTTTAAATAGATAAAATACAGGCCAAAGTTGACAATATTACAGTTGAGAAGAAACTATTTTATCTTAAAAAAAAATTTCTTAAAATTCTGAGATCATATAATCTAATTTTCTTAATAATAAATTAGGTATATGTACATACAGAATTTTGTTATGGACAAATAAGGATCGACAAGCTTCTTTTGTGCAAAAAATAAATGATTTTTTCTAGTATTACGACAAACCATAATGTGTTTTACAAACTTACCGGTAACAGTTTTTGTTTATAATAAAATATTTAGGAATAATTTGGGTTGTTTATCAATATATTAATGACTTGAATTTTGACAAATCGAATTTGTATCAAAATAATTTTACGAAATATAAAATTGATGTTCTATTACAAGATTGAGTTTTTATTGTCGACAAAAACCAGGATAAATACTAATAATAATACCCTTAATAAAATCAATGATGTTTATGTATTATGAAAATATTTGTTAGAGGACATGTTATGTAACAGTTTTTGAAACATAATTTGAAGGGACGAATAAAAAAAATAAAACAAAAACATATTTTTTCTAGGTTTATATT